AGCGGGACTATAGCAAAAGATGTTAAAAAGGCACATAAATGGGAAAGTTTTTAAGGTTATCCAAAACTCATATTTTAATGCCAAGTCATGTGTTAAAAACGGAAATGAAATTTCGGAATTTTTCGTTTGTAATGTCGGATTAAAACAGGGGGAAAATGTATCCCCATTTTTGTTTTCCCTAAACCTGAATGATCTTGACGATTTTTTAATATCTTAATCATGTAGAAATTAACATTGTCAAATTAACATTGGAATGTATCTTAAACTATTTGTAATACTGTATGCGGATGACACTGTGTTAATGGCTGAGACACCGGAAGGGTTACAACATGCCCTGAATGTGTTTCAAAACTATTGTAGAAATTGGAAGTTTACTATTAATGTACAGAAAACGAAAGAAAAAAGAAAACGTAGACAACAATATGCGTTTAAATTGAATGAAGAAAATATCGAAGTCCAAAACTCTTATTCATATCTGGGCATATTATTGAATAGCAATGGTACGTTTAGTAAAGCAAAAACAAAAATAAATTAACAAGCTAAAAAGGCACTATATGCATTGTACAAGAAAATAAGAAATACTCCATTGTCTGTTGATTTGCAACTTAAGTTATTTGATTCTCTTGTTTCACCGATCCTGTTGTATGCTTGTGAGATATGGGGATTCGAAAACACTATTACCATAGAAAGAATGCATTTGCAATTTTGAAAAAGAATCACGAATGTGAAAAATTTTACTCCGAATTACATGATTTATGGAGAAACCGGGAGATATCCTCTGGAAGTAAAAATCAAGACAAGAATGTTCATATTCTGGTTTAAGTTGTTAACTGGCGGGTTAAAAGATCAATTTATACAGAAATGGTTCCAAGAGATAGAAAACTCTTCTCGGGGTAAATTCTACTCCATACATAAGACAAACTTTCAGTATTATTTGTAAATTCAGAACGTCTAATCTAAATTCCCCAATAGAGACTGGACGCTGGAATGCAACTCCAAAACCAGATAGAATATGTCCTTAATGTCAAACAGGTGTAGGTGATGAACCACATTATTTGTTTAAATGCCAAAATACTTATGTATCATCAATAAGAAAAATATATATCCATAATTATTACATTACAAACCCAAGTAATTTTAAGCTTAAAGGAATTATTTCTATTTGTAATTTAAATGTTTTACCTAAAATAAGTCGTTTTTAGAGAAAACAATTAAGGCTTTAAGTGACATAAGATAACTGCAGTGCTATTATTCTGTAGTATTATATATTTACATGTTGTATAAACAATCTGTACTGACTTTGCTATGTAACTGAAATGTATTAAATGTTGACATCTTGTAACACACCTCGTGTGTGTCAGGAGTATAAAAAATAAAACTTGAAACTTGAAAACTTGAAGAAGGTCGTATATGAGACGCATATAAGTCAGACTGATGTGTTTTGTTTACCGACCTAACATGTACGTATCACGTGCTAACAGTAGTTCACAAGATCTTGGTCGCTACAACTTATGTTGTCCAGCGAGTTAAGCTCTGTTAGATAAATCGTTTCACAAATGCAATAACAGTAACTCTGTGAAAATAATGGTTTGTGAAATATCAAGATCCCTATAAAATGCAAGTGCATGTGTGCACGTGATAACGGCATACCATGCGATAGCCTATGTCCTATGATTAAATTTGTACCTGACATTTAAATATACCATGCTTAAGCGGGCTATTGAATGTAGCAGCACCCAGAAAATAACTGCATGCTTTATTTTGAACCATAGCAATTTCTCTATATTTATTCAGACCCCAGATTCCAGTACCATAAAATAGCACTGGTTCCACTAGGGATACATTCAGCTTACATTCAACTTCATAACAAATTTCTCCATCATATACATACTTGGAATAAAGAGCATACAATACTCTACTTGAAGATTTACACAATTCTTGTACAGGACAATGTAAATTTAAGTGTTCATGAAACCATTAACCAAGGTATTTGTAATTCTGGATTTTTTCTATAGGTTTAATATCAGAAGCCAAATAAAAAAAAATATAATGAAAAAAATATTGTTGGGGAGACTTTACATCCCTGTTTCAAACCTTGTTTTACTTAAAAGGCCTCTGTAAGTTTACAGTTAATCTTAACCCTTGATTGGATATCATGGTACAAGGACTTTATGGCTTGTAAGTAGTTGCCATTGTACCAAAATGTTGTATTTTAATCCATTAAAAATTCACGTCTAACACAATCAAATGCCTTTTTCATATCGACAAAGCAGACAAAAGTAGATTGTTTCCTTATTTGCCTATTATTTGAAATAGAATATAAAATGTTCCGATGATCAAGACAACTTCTATTTTTTCTAAAACCATTTTGTTCTTCAGCTAGAAGATTGTTTGTTTCTAACCATTTGGATATACGCTGGTTTAGAATATCTATCAAAGAAACCCGTCTGTAACTTGTAATGGTGACATTGGATCTTTCCCTGCCTTCAGTATAGGATTTATAATATTCTGAATAGCATCTATACCTGCTGCTTTAATAAGTTTTGCTCGAAAGACAGCATCTTCAACCTCTTACCTGTAATGGGTATACTAATATGACAAACTATTTGAATGTCTATGATAAATTTGAACAAGAGTTACATAAGGTACGCGTCAGGTGATTTGGTAGGAGTCTTCCCTGAACACCAACTCTGCTTAAAATCACATGTTTACATAGGTGGTCAGTTGTGATGATAGTGAGTTATAGTCTATTGCAGAAATGGTGTACAGGTTAATCAACTTCTGATAACTAAACAGATAATCAATAACTGCTAATAATTGCAAAATAATAATTAATATTGAGAGTTCCGATCCCAAGCTGTTAAATGTGTAATGTATGAAACAACAACACATTTTGGAGAATTATCATATTTCTCTCTGTACTCTGTACTGAAGAAACATCAACTTCTTTACTCTGTGAAATTTGTGTGAATTATCTTATACTTATTATCATATAAAACTTATTTTCAGATTTTAACTTGTGTGACTTCAGCTTGATATTGTTATCTGTTATTGTGTGCTTTGATACATAGTTATTAGTTATAAACTTGTATTTTCAGATTTGTGTGAATTCTCTTATAATTATTGTCATATAAAACTTGTACTTATTTTCTGATTTGTGTGAACTGTGTTTAACTTGTGTGACTTCAGTTCGATATTATTATTCTATTATAGCCTTTGGCTGAGGTCGATACCTGGATTTATCGACCCGTGAAAAGATATATTGACAGAGGACGCAGTAATATCAAAACCACAATGCAAAGGGCATTAAGTGTTACTCATCTTCATTTTTCATTATTGTATACCCGAAGTTACACACACCCATTCACGGGGGTCGTCTTTATACTTTCCCTTTGTAATATTTCAATTAAATTAAAACGATATGTAAAATTCAATCAAAGACGTATTAAAAGCTATTTAATTAGTTACAATAATGTTTGTTTGGACTTATCCTGATGTGTCGAAGTAATCATTCTCCCCAAGTGTTGGTTGAGATACATCTAATTTATACTTCCTAAATTTTCAGATTTCGTTGGAGAAATTTAATCTAGATACGTCGACAAAGGACGTATCTGCGTCCACAGGGACCCGAGAGTCTAAATGATTGCTTGGGTGCGGTTGAAAGGAGGGGCGGTACTTATTTCGAGCAATAGTGTTTACCACTAAAACATCTAATTTATACTTCCTAAATTCTCAGATTAAGTTAAGCTACATGACGCCTTATCACAACAAGAAGAAATAGAACATCTTATATTACTACAGAGCGTGATAGGTCCAAACAAACCAACTGTAGCAAATTCCCGGGTCCCTGTGCCTGAAACCACAGGTAGTAACCTTGTTGTCTTTGTAAGTAACAGGGTTGACCACGCGTTTAAACAATAATAAAGGTAAGGCCAGGTAAAAGCAAAGACCAAATGATAGTTGGGATTATTTCACTATTGTTTAGGATAGTGAAACCAGTGCTGTTTGTACAATATACTTTTCAAAATGACGGCCAAGAGAAAGCAATAAAAAAACTTGGTTCAAGCCTGTTTTAAGGAGGGAATTACAGAAGTAATTCAGTTTACATTTTCATCACCCAGACAAATGAAAATGTGTAACTTGAGGTACAGCACGGAATTGGATTATCTAAGTCCGTGGGTACAGCAATGAGTATGATTCATGTATAAATGTATGTTGTGTTGTAAGATGTATAGATAAGATACATGTAACTTACGCTCGGGCTTCAATATCATTCATATAAATACTGATTATAATTATGAAATACATGTAATACCACTACCGCTTTTCGTGTCGTAGCGCTGTCTGATCTCAAACGGGAGCCATGATCGGCACTGTGTGAACGCCGCATTAATAACATTACAAGTCTGAAGATAGTGAATGGTGTGATTGTTCTTATAACGTGTCTAATAAGTCATTTTGGCTAGACCCATTTTAGATTCAAAGGTATATGTATTGCGATTTTATGAATACTATGTGTTTGACACGAAAATAAAATATTTGAACTTTGAACTTGAACTATATAGGTCAGCTAGGTACACCTAACTATAAAAATATGATAAAGGCTATGCAATCGAGAATCAATTGGGACACATTATTTAAGGACAGGCTATATATCAGTTAGATGTGCTCAATTGTCAAACTGCAGACAAATACCACGACTTGGCTACAACGCATCGTTCTTTCATACTGCAAGCAAATACCATTGTCAAACTGCAAGCAAATACCATTGTCAAACTGCAGGCAAGGGTATACATTAAATGCAAAAGGCTCTGGTGAGGAAACAGACGAATGATAGTCTAAGATTTCAAACGTCCTATTTATTTGAATAGATGCTGTATTGATGGCGTCACTCTGATCATATTTGCGATGATGGGAAAAGTGCATTTGAAAGCGTTCTAATTTATAAGTGCAACGATTTGATAATTTGCATTAAAAAGTTATTTTAATCATTTCATACTATCTGTACGTGTGTCGTTTTGGGAAAACAACTATTATTTACCCTCCATCAGTGAGAAATAAATCAGACATTTCTTCTCGATTTTATCTGACACAGTGAACAATTTCCGCTAAAATGAATGAAAATTCGAAACCATACCCATAGCGGAACCAACAACACATCTTTCTGTTCCCCTTTGGCTTCCTGCAGGAACTTTCTCAGAAAGAAGTAGGTTCTGGTGTCGACCACGTTTGAAGCTTGTCTAGTTGAAGAGAACGGGCGATAGGCGTGGTACTTCAGTGACGCCATTACAGAATTAGAATTAGCAAAGTTTGACGTCCATGTATCATATGCACCAACGAAATAGCTGTTCATCGATCGAAGAACTGAACCAAGTCCAATGTTGATGAATGTTGATCCAAAGTCTGGCGGAACATTGAATAAATCCTTGCTGTTGAATGTGAAAATACACCGATGATCAGTGGTAATGTAGTATAAAAGGTATAATTATCGTACGAACGGTATAAATGGTGATGGTATAAAACACACACTTGTTGTACCAATAGTATAAATGGTACAGCGGTATGGTCACAGTACAGATGGAAAGGGTATTGCATTAATATACTTGCTATACAAATGATATATTTATGCTATAAAAGGTATGGTCACAGTACTGATGGTAGAGGTGTGGTATAAATACTATATTTGTTATACAAATGGTATAGTTATGCTATAAATGGTATGGTTACGATACATAGTATTAGTTATTAAATGTACAAACGTCAATATGGTACTTTATTTTTAACTTACTTGATCGTTTACTGCATACGACACTGCTTTTATCCGAGTACATAACGAATATATTGGTTACACTTTTAAGCATTACTGACACACCTGTCTTGAGGTTATTTATTAAAACACCGAGAAATATATATCATACGGACACATTCGTATAATTAATTAGCGTCAAATGCCTTTTTTGTGTGGCATAAAATGTATTTTTTTAGGGTCCCGACCTGCGTTGTCTATATATATTCCGTAAATTGAATGTACCACATATAAGGTATGAACGTGATGTTTATTTGTCAAAACACAGCTGAATATTACAAAAAGAAATAAAAAAATCTCCACTTGAACTTAAAACAAAATTAAGATTTCCTTTGACACAGGAAATTAATGTATGAACTAACTCTAGCCTATCTATTTACTCTGAGGCCCTTACCGACTCTAAGTGTACCTACATACCTGAAGGTGAGACGCCGTATGATGGAGTGAAGGTCACTCGTATCAGGCCCTCGGGACAGTTGTTCCACTTTGTCACCTGCCATACATTTCCCTAGTCTCATTAGGTTAACTGGCCCTCTGATCCATGCCTGTAAGGAAGAGAATATATCTTCTATCAAATCTAGCCCGTTTTATTAATTATTGTTCTGAGACACAATGTGACTTATTCAAACAGAGAAAGCAACGCAGCTACATATCCGATATTCAAGACTATCAACCAATGTGATAAGTACAGGAGACCTATCCGGAACACCTTGTTCAGCCTGATATTTCCGTGGTGTTCATGTTGTCTTTCGTTTTGTTTTGAAGTTTCTCTATTTACTGTTGATATATCTTCCTATTCGTTTTGTAGAGCTGAGCTGTGACTTTTTGTGTTGATGTTGTGGTATATTTTTGAAATAATTAAGATATGTGCGTGAATTATGGTGGAATATATAATAAGGAAGAGAAAATGGCGGTAAGTATCAACGAAGTCCGCTTCCAATCTGGGTTAATTAATTTTCCAACATTTTCGAATCCCGAGTTATGTTGTCCACCATAATGTACAAACGTGTTGATTACGAGTATTAAACATGTAGTTGCAAAAGAAGAAGAGAATACCGAAGCGTCAAAAAAACCCTCAACATAGATCAAACTTAGGCAAAATATAATCAAATGAAAGGTTTACGTGGAGACCCTGGAAAAGGTACGAGGCGAATAAGACCAGGTGTTCCGGAAGGGTAAGCGTCTTCTGCTTCATCGATCACATACGCCATGTCGAATACAAGACATATCACGTCCTCACACCGAGCACTGGGGAAGTGATAACAGAACTACAAGGTACTCCAATGAGCATAATGAAAAATAAACCATAAACATTATCGTTCAAAGAAAAAGCAGATTTCCCTGTGAGATCCTGATGGCGATTTTTCAAATTGTCCATTGCAATCTTCATTAACCAGATTTTCCTTTTTAGCAATCAATCAAAACCACCAATTTTTCAACATTGCTCGTCAACACGTCTCTACTTCAGTGTAATACGCCTTTAATTAGAACAGTGACCTAGACAATCTAATTATTTAAATCAGGCTGTTCTTTTGCTCGTGCAAACATTCGTCAGGCGATCCTTAAATGTATTCATGTCATTGATCATATCTGCTCTTTGAGAAATTTTCCATTTTTGTCTGTTTATCATGGATATATTTGGGAAAGATGTTTCATTTTCAGTCGCCATTTGGTTTACAGACGACAAACAATAAACACAGACGTCATGCTGGATACCTGATGTTTATTTCTATCAATCAAACCCGTCAATCTATCGACATAGCTCGTCATCACATGAAATAGTTTGACAGATTTACAAACGATGCAAAAACCTTGCAATGCAAGTACACTCAATGGACAAAGGGCAGCAGTCCGGTATTCGCCGGGGAGGTGTTTGGAAGAGCGTTGGTCTGTTGGAAAGTAATACATGCACGCGTTTGGTCTATCGGCCAATAATGCATACGTTTGAATATGTATATGACGTAATTTTAAGGAAAGTACAATTTAATTTTTATAATCCTTTGCCTTACCAGCATTAAACTTATAATTTACACTTTAGATCATTACAGAATAGTTATCAAGGTTAAGTAATAAAAATATAATTAATACAAAAATTGTAAAACATGACTTTTATTAGAAACCACAATTTAGGAGGAAACCGGAGAACCAAGAGAAACCTTTGTGATCGGGCATCTTCTCACATCCGATCGGGTAATGGCACCCCGGCCGTTTTTGTTAAAGGCGACTGCACCACTCCACCACCTGTTTAGTCATTCCTATTTCGTTATTACTTATACAGACATGAATAGCTTTTAACTGTTACACGTGTAACGATTAACCACATGTCTTACCTTCAGAGCTGTATCATACTCCTGTGGCCATATTGTCATCCTCGAGTTTGAACTGTTCCCAGCTTTATCTGTAGACCTTTTTATGGAATAGATCGATCGCCTGAGATGTTCCTCGGTGGGCTTTGGGCTTCTTCCGTATACAAAGGCCTCGATTAAGCTTATGGTAATCCAAGTGTTAGCAAAAATATCTGTGTCCTTTACTGAAAACACAGTTGGTTGTTGAGTCGAATTCGTCGATTCATTAAGTATAAGGTTCCACTCGCTCTCATATGCTCCTTGATATCGTGTTGGAGTGAAAGGGGAACTGGATTCTGCGGACTTCTGAACTTGCATTTCTTCGAGTTTATGAAATAAAATGTTTATTTTGTAAATGTTCTCCTGGTCCTTGTCGGAAGACAGCGTGTAAGAAGAAACCCCACAAACCCAAGTTAAGAACATATGTAGTAGCATCGCTTGCACGCCGCTGACTCTATTAGGTTTGACGTGTATTATATCGAATGTTTTTGACTTGGAAATATAATTCTAACTTAAGTTTTTCCACATATTATGCTGCTCGAATATAACAGTGCACATATATATAGAACATCATGAAATGTGATTTTGACCGTTTTCTCATTCACATAGACGTGTTTTACTTCGGCCCCATAGTGTCACGTTATCATATAAACAATAAATAACCCCTTTACCTAGATAACGCTGGTACACGTTTCAATCACAAGGTACGGGTTTGATAATCAGTCTCATTTCGATGTTAATTGTGAAAGATAACAGTAATGGTTTAAGGGTCCTTTTGCCTCTGCTTGCTTAGTCGTGTTCATAACTTAGGGGCTTAATTAGTCACATTGTGTTCACTTCATACCCGAACCAGAGAGAGAGAGAGAGAGAGAGAGAGAGAGAGAGAGAAGTGGGTGCTACAAGTCTGTATCATTTTATCTATTGTGTTTTGCCTTCCGTCTTCTCGATACTAATGACGAGTAAAACTTTGCTAATATTGTGTCCTTCACAGAAGAAAATACAGATTGCATTACATCAATAGATCAGGAGCTAGGAAGCGATCACCCGTTAACGAACAGCAGCGTCCTACAGTGTATGTAATTGTTATACAATGTTTAAGCGGCATGAGCTCGCCAAGAGGTACAAGTAGTACTAGTTAAAACAATTACAACACAACATGTTATCGACAGATATTACAAAACGTCATCCCGCTAAAAGTATCATGTACACTAGAAACCTTAACTCGACCTCAAGAATTGTGTTTCAGAAAATTAACATCAATCGTTTTCGATGTTGAAACCAAAATTTTGTTTGACACCTAAATGACACGAGAACGGTTTGTTCAAGGAATGTTTTGCCGCTGGATACACAATAATAACTACATATTTGAAAATTATATTGCAAAATATATACAAATGTAAAGTCGTGGCCTTATTATTAAAATGAACCAATTTGCTACGTACTTAAGTTAAGTATATGTATTTACAGGTAATTATACAGTGATATTAGATTAAACGTGTTCCGTCTTGCCTAATCTAGAAAAACAATTACGCATTGTAAAAATGTACAGAAAAAATGTACTCTGTAACAATTTATATTTACCGAATGGTCTGCCAGAAAATACGCTCCACGAATTTTGCGCTTAGGCGATTTTGTAAACACTTTCAGGGCTGTTTATTAGGATTTGTCTTACGGTGTACTTCGACTTATCGGAGTCTTCGGGGTGTCGTGGCTATTGCTATCCGATGGTCACGACATGTCCGCTGAATGTTGATTATTAGCCTTGTCTTGTCCGTTACCATACATTTAAACAGTTTGTTCATTAAAACTTTGCCACATGTTGCCGTAGCCCCATACATATTCTTCTGTTCTAGCTTTCGTAACGTCTCCCTGATACAATCTCACCACATTTATATAGTTATGTAACATACGTACGCTGTCACCCTCGTTTACATTTTTATTAACGTGTTGTAATTTCCAATGATCTAATTTTACCTTATAAACATGTAAACAGAGTGTCTTTGAAGTGACTCATATTAGCGAGATAATGTTTATCAATATGCGACATTTTAATTAAAATAATTTGTTGCATTTTTATAATCAATACATATTTTATTTACAAATTAGTACTATAGTTCAGACATCTTAATTAAGTATTTTTTAATTTTTGTTCGTAACATATTTTATTTAAAAATTAGTTCAATAGTTCAGACATCTTGATTTAAATAATTGTTAATTTCTATTCGTTTAATATTTTATTTACAAATTAGTGCAATAGGTCAGGCAGTACTACCAGTGAATTTGAAACATTTTAATTAGCAATTCTTTAACAAATCCTTTTTCATTGACAGATTGGGCCGCGATGGCCAAGTGGTTAAGGCGTCTGACATTCTGCTACATGTACCACTAGCCCTTCGCCACTGGGTCGCGGATTCGAGACCTACGTGCGGCTTCCCTCCACCACCTTTTCCACCTGGCACGTCCTTCAATGACTATAGCTGTTAATAGGACGTAAAACACAAACAAAAGAAGCATTGACAGATAGCGGAAATACTTAAACAAGCCATTCGCTTGTTTACTTGTTAATTATCGATTATTTAAGATATCTGTTTTCATTGACAATTAGCGGGGAAAATATTAATAAGGAAAGAAGTAAAACCAGTATTTTTTAAAATCAAATTCTTAAACAACAATTTCGCTGTACTTGTCTTAATAAATTAAAAAAACAATCAAATTTTAAGCTAGGTTTTCATCGCCAGTAACAGTCTTTAGCTTATTTGCATGCTTATGTACAATAACGTACGAGCACTTGTTGACATTTTCTTTTTCATGCCGATTATTAGGAATACAAAAACTCTCTCGTGCCTGCCATGTGAGGAATTAATTACTTCTACACAGTGAAGGGTTCTTCCTTGTCAAAGTGAAAACCTCGGAAAGTCGGTGGGTGTTTCTCAAGTTTTTTTCTAAAATTAGTGACAGTGACCTTGACCTTCAATACAGTTACCCGACATACAAAACACTTGTATGAAGTTTCATAAAATGATTATGCGGAATGAAGTCGCTAGAGCGATGGTAAATAGTGTAACATACGTACGTACGGGCGGAATAATAGAATCTTTCACTCCCTTGGGGGTGAGACAGGGTATTCTCTTACCCTGGACAGATTTATCCTTACTTTTACCGGTGTCAGATTTCCTTGTCTCACCCTAGGGTTGAGACAAGCTACACGTGCTCTTTGCACGTTCTCCACAATAAACCTTACGTCACTGATGTGACCCGAAGAAGAACTACTTTTATCAGGTCACACACATACACAAGTTCGTCTGCTAATCTTGTCGTGTTTACATTTGACATCAAAGAAGATTTGATTGATTTTAAAATGTTTAAAATATGACGCGTGAACCGTCTGACGCATACATATAATATTAATACGCTATCCACGTGTTCCTGTTTACAAACAATATATTTCGTCTTACACTTGGACAGGAACATTCACCCCTCGGGGATGAGATAGGGGATCTCAACCCTCGGGGGGAAGATTCTTAACTTGCCAAACACGAGGCAAAGTATTTGGCAAATTAAGAATCTTCCCCCCTCGGGTTGAGATTCCCCTATCTCACTACCAAGGGGAGGAAAGATTTTATTAATCTCAACCCGAGGGCTAAGATTCTTAAGTTCTTAAGAGAATCCTATATCCCCTCGAACTTTCGTTGCGAGGAGATTTTAACGTTTATAAAAGCACGTTTCGTCTTTCTTTTCTCCTCGGACACGCCTAAGAGAATCTCTTAATCTATACATGTCACTGAATCCTCTTCACTAAGTAAAAAATAACAAAGTCGGTATCTTTTATTTTTAATGTAAATTATCAAAATTCTACACATGCTGTATCGTGTTTATTTACACCTTGGTGAAACATGTAGAAAAATAGGCTATACATAGTGTAAATTAGTGGAGCGTGTCGGCTACTAGACACATATATATCTAACCATTACTGATATACCAAGCACAGTACACCATGATGGAGACGAAGGATAATGGAGAAATTTGTTCTGGAGAGGAACATATGTTTGTGTCGGAAGCCGAAGATTCCCAGAAAGGCCTACACAAGCGAGAGACCTGGTCTACTAAAATGGACTTCCTCCTGGCATGTGTTGGATTTTCAGTCGGATTCGGAAATGTCTGGAGATTTCCCTATCTCTGTTACAAAAACGGTGGAGGTAAGTTTTTTACTGCACATTTATCAATTATAGATTCTGAGGTTAATACGTTGTTATATGAACCTAATAGAGTGGTATCGACCGAGGACGCATGACTACATGTATCATGTTTATAAAACAACCTATAAACCGAGACAAGAGTCCTTAGTTTCTATATGACATGTTAAGTCATTAGATAACATGAGAAGTATGATACAGGCTGCACTACAGGGATTATGAAGGTATGATTCAAATCACAAAACGAACTTCTCGGTGATTAACAATATAAACAAAATATTATATATATAGTTCATTTTTATTTTAAATACCTGCCTCGTTTTGGTATTTTGGATCTAATGTTGTCAACATGCGGTCGATAAGCTCACATGCTAAACCCAAAAAAACATGGTGTCGATAGTGTATATATCAGCCAACCCGGACCAAGGATTAGTCGGTAGGAATCAAGGAGTACCAGGCGATATGTGATCTCTACTTTTATTCACTACTTACTACTTGAGAACTATGATAATCATGTGCAAATATCACATGTGCATATCAAACAAAATGAAAACAGTGTTGTTATCAAATTTGATTTAACTGTTGATGCACTTAAGTAAATCAGTTACCTTTTATCGTAACTAGCATTAACAGCTACAGCTTCAGGTTAAGTGACGTGAATGGGTTTAATGTACAGGGGGAGGCAGAAGAGAGTTAGAGGAAGTGGAAAATAATCAGTAATTTGGTACCTTGTGGTTAGAATTACTTACGGTTGAATAATCTCCTTATTATAGGCAGACCTGAAACCCTACACACAAATCACATTCGTCAGTAAGATGTTTTATCTTGCACAGTTTGTGATAACTATTTTTGTTTATCGTTTATAGTTTACTGTATAATAACAAATCACTGCTAATGATTTTAATTCATTACATTATTTCATATTCGATGTCCGTTTTAAAACGAACAAGACTGCTTATTTTTCAAAAGCCTTGTTTTATTTTTTTCAAGTTAGTTTTTCTTAGCTTACCAACGTTTAGAAACTGAATGGGCCTTTTCAATTTAATTGCTCATTTTTAAGTTTCAGACGACTGTCTAACTTTTCACAGCTATCACATTCGACACCACCGGAATATTTTTATCAAGCTTTCTCCTTCCTTTGTCCGTTTTATTTTTGTCTGATATGCTCTGAGGCTTACACAGGTAGAGTGGCTTTATGTAGCAGGCACTCCAATACATGCCTGTCTTAAAATGTGGACACCTCAATGTTAGCAAGTCTTTAAAGGTAACCACGGTTAACCCAATAAAGGACGCCAATACCACTACAGGCAAAACACGAGGGACTATATTATTTACCTGGGACTATATTATTTACCTGGGACTATCTTATTTACCTGGGACTATCTTATATACCTGGGACTATCTTATTGGGACTATCTTATTTACCTTGGACCATCTTATTTACCTGGGACTATCTTATTTACCTGGAACCATCTTATTTACCTGGGACTAGCTTATTTACCTGGGATTATCTTACTTACCTGTGACTATCTTATTTATTTGGGACCATCTTATTTACATGGGACTATCCTATTTACCTGGGACTAGCTTATTGGGACTATCTTATTTACCTGGGACCATCTTATTTACCTTGGATTATCTTATTTACCTGTGACTATCTTATTTACCTGGGACCATCTTATTTACATGGGACTATCCTATTTACCTGGGACTAGCTTATTTACCTGGGACTATCTTATTTACCTGGGACTATCATATTTAATGGGACTATCTTATTTACCTTGGACTAGCTTATTTACCTGGGACTATCTTATTTACCTGGGACTATCATATTTACTGGGACTATCTTATTTACCTGGGACTAGCTTATTTACCTGGCACTATCTTATTTACCTGTTTATAACAGCGACCGTATTAATCTAGATTGTCCAGGCCTCTTATCCCGGTCTGGCCCCGTTGATTTTTTAAAACTGATTAATTCAGTAAAAAATGTTGATTAATTCAGTAAAAAATGTTTTACTGTTATTTGTACCCATACAAATGACGTCACTTCCGTCCGCAGACTTTAATGGCAGTCAACATTCATAGTGCTTTTCGCTTTGACAAAATAGTCCTATAGGGTTTTTATATTGTTTTCTGTATCGAACAGACAGCATTAGGTATAGTAATGTGCTTGTTCAGTCTACCACAGCGCTTAACGATTGCATTGCCCGTTCTCACTCTTTATATAATACACATTGTACCAACGCAAAAAGAAATTGAGGAGTGATACGTGCGAAAGATTGTCGCTTTATATACGTCTTGCAAGCACTGACCTTTCTTGATTTCTGTGTCCAAAATTGACCAAGGTCTCATCCCCTGTTATTAACTCATAAAGCTTTCTTTGGTCGCAATTTCTGTACTTTTTCAATGATTTTTTTACACATTTCAAACGTTAAGCCTTTTGTTCAGATTTCACCCAATGGGAGATGCATCGGGCAAAAAGCTTACTTAATTTCAAGCACTTGGTCCTAGTGTGTTACGTACTACCTTCTGAAACGCTAATGATATGAGCTCGGAAACAGGATAACTATCATCCTTCTTAACTATTGATTACACACCAACAATGTAATGTGCTTGTTCAGTCTACCACAGCGCTTAACGATTGCATTGCCCGTTCGTGCGTGAGCTGTGTGGCGACATAATTTATTGAACAGCCCTCGTAATAAGCTGAGTATTATCTTTTTTTAATATCAACACAATTCATTCATTCAATACCTCTGCAGCCAAAATAGAATTGTATGTGCTTTATCAAATATGCATAGCACTTTATGTTAGATAATAAAAAAAAAACTGGCGTGAAATGGAGTTTGATATGACATTTTCTAACAGCTGACGATTGAACTACCTTTTTATTTATACAATTGTCCCTGGATATATCAGAAAGCAGGTACTTATCAAATTTAGAGTAAATTAGAACATTAATTTGTTTTTGCGTATTACTGCAAAACAACACGGCATTTGGACCATATGTTGTCACCAGGCGATGTATGACAATTTGGTAACAGATGCAGAAGCAAACAAATGGGTTACGCTGCATAAGGCAGCTGTTTCGTCATTGTAGGAGTTATCGTTGAAGCTAAAGGGAAAAAAATCTAATCTACTATTTAAACAGAGGGGTAGGTGTGTAAACCCCTTAATTAGGGGTTTTAAAAAATGAGGAGACAAGTAAATTTCGAATAGAATAACCAGTTGTTGTTTTTTTATATATATTATGAACTATGCCACTACTCAAAATATATATATGTTGTCATCAATATTTCAGTTAACCTCAGGACTAACTAATCCACCAGTTCAGTCTATCACCTTGTATCTCGTGCCATCCTATCTTCTTCAATTGTCTTCTGTTTATCAAAACACTTATCATTGACACAGGAAACAAGGGCAGAGCTAATATCTGACAATAGAAAGAAACATTATGCAGATCTTCGATTTGTTCTTTCTACCACCAGTCCGTTTCAAATTGAAAATGGTATAACGATATAATGCTTAAACTGTACGTTATAATTAAGGTTTGCTGGCCATTGATTTAGAATGGCATGACCTTAACTTGTTTAGCTTTTACCTACGATATCTATATATTGTTTTTATCGACAGCTTTACATCTTATCAAATCATTTGGATATTTTTTCGAATTCTTCATTGCTGCCATTTCTTATAGTAATCCAAACAACAAGTAATAGCCTAGTTCGATTAATCAATGAAATATGCAGGATACAGTTGGAGGGATCGAGGTGAACACCATGTACCTAGCGAATTACATGATTTCATTTGTATCGCCTGATTTTAAGTGTAATAACTTTAAAAGTCAGTTCTCAGGGTCATGCTCGGTGGCGTGTTTATTCATAATAATGGCTGACTTACCATATGTGCGCGATCCCATAATACCCTAGTACAGGAAGGGAAGTAACTCGCTGTACACTATACTTCAAGGTTGCGCTACACTATCTTTTAACATTTCCTACATTAAGGGATTGCTAAACATGGACGTCATTTAGCATATACACTGACAAAGTCACAGCTTTTAAATAGGCTTACTACCAAATCGTTCTCTCAAATGAAACCATTGGTGTTCCAATACGTTTCGTCGTCAGTAACGCCGTTGTTAACGAAGGTGTCATCTACATCTTCTTTAACAGCCAAACTTTATTTTTGACATGTGAAAATTGATTCTTAATGTATTCCCTCAGGCAAATGTCCGTGTAGAATTCAGTGTTGTCGTATCATTTTACCACAAAATAACGACGGTTGGAGGCCGTGTGGTACAACTATTATAAATACTATTTTTATTACTTTGTTCATATTTTACCTAGTATATCGATAGACGAACTAAACACACATACAGATAATTGCACTTTTGAAATGCGGTGATATATACAGTATGCCAAAAATGAATAATACAGCATCATGCAGTGAAGCTGATTTCAAATTATGATATCTTTTCTGTAATCTAATTATTATTTTTTTAAAGAAAAATGTAAATCACAAGTGTTGTACCTGTTTGTTTGAATAACTGTTATGTCTGTTTAAATAAGGCATCTAATCACAGGATTATTGTGTACGTGCTCTGTTTTTATTGTTAGAAAGATAACATGTTAACGATCATTTTTTTCTTAGAGGTTTTCATCCCTACAGTTCATGTTTTCGAGAAAAATGTAAATAAAAGCTTATAATACAAGGATTTATTCAAAATAATGACATGTATTGCCATGGGAAAGCAAATGATAAAAAATAAATTAAACATGCATCGTGTTTATACTTCAACTGTGTACTTTACCTGTAGCCGTTATTCGAACTCGATAAACATTTGACAAAGTATGAAAACGGAGAACCAGGAAAAAGTACAAGGCGGATAAAACCGGAAGGATGACTGACTCTTCTCCGCTTACTTTTAGGGGGACTCAATTGCGCTTGCTTGGTTCCAGACTTAGCCTTGCTGCCTTCACGGCGTACATTCTAAGTAT